CTTGAAGGCGGCCGAGAAGGGAAGTGGTCGCCTCTAGAATGCGGTCGCGAGGGCAGGTGGTCGCCCCTCGATGTCGGCCTCGAAGGCGAGGTGGGTGTCCTAAGCTTCCGGCTGTTGTAGCCCGTAAGACTGGTCCTCGAGCCAGCACTCAAAACCCAGTCTGGGATCGGCGGCGTCATTTTTCTTTCTTCTCCTTCTATGCTCCCTAGCACCATCATGTGCCTCTCCTGCTCCTCTTCGTCTTCTTCCCGGAACTCGGGAGACGTGGTGTAGCTTCTCTCATATCCCCGCCGATGATGGAATGACTCAAACGATTGCTGAGTGCTGAGCGGGCTGGAGACGGTCGGGAGGCTACCACTTCTCATCCGGACCAGACTCCGGATACTCTGCCTATCTGAGTAAAAAACCTGCCCAGCGTTGGGGGCTGCCACGACAATGGTGCCTGGAGTGGTGATGGCTGGCGGCGAGGTCGGCGAATCCGATCGGAACAACGGATGGATATGAGACTCGCTCTGTGACGCATGCTGGGTGAATGCTGCCCGTCGCTGAGCCTGTGTTGTCCCTACAGAAGACGCAGGGCTGTAGCTTCGACTCCGGCTTCGTCGCGGCGGTGGTGGCTCCAGATCAAATGGCATGCCCGGGCTCGGACTTCGACTGGCTGGGCTGGCTGGAATGGTCTCGAGGAAGCGGTTGCTGGCACCTGGTGGAGGTGATGATGTCTCTAGAACCGTCTGCCTGTTTTGGGGGTCGACCGCAGACGTGTCCCAGGAGTCAAACCCCTCAACTTCCATCCTGGGAGGGCGGGGAGGTGGTGTGCGAATAGCCGCTGGGTCGAGCGACGGAGGCCGGTGCTGGAGGGATCGTGGGCTGCCTGATATCAATGCAGTCTTGGATGAGATGGGGCGAATGACGCTCGAGATGGACGAGCGGATTGAGCTGACGGGCTCAGTGGCCGAGCGTCCGCCGCTGGAGCTGGGTGGTTCCAACGAGCTGGTGGATTCATCAGCCCGAAACTTCAAGGTGCTTGGACTGGTGGGCTGGTATGGAATCGCCTTGAAGTCTTTTTGCTGTTCCTGTGGAGGGTTCTCCTCGTCCCTGGGGCCCGTGCCGCCCCTCGCTTCTTGTTCTTGCCATCTAGTGGTGGCAAAGTAAACAACCAGAAAAACGAGTTGGGTCGCAAAGGCAAAGCCCAGGGCAAGGGAAGAAGCAACGAGAAATCCTGTGGCGGTGGAGCCTAGGATCATGCTGGGAAGACTTTCGGCCGCATTGTTGAGGCATATGATGGTGGCCACAGACACGGCGGCCGCAACGACAGAGAGAAACAAGGACGCGCCGAACTGGATGCCATTGAACCGTCCAAGACGTTTTATCCGCGCCGATGGGCCAAGATATGAAAAGAACAAGGGGGCGATGGCGATGAGCACCACAGCCTCGAGTACCGCTCCTATTATGGCCGTGATCCTGACAGCAGATGCCGGGGTAGATATCGAGTGTGCAAGAATAATGTGGACCACCAGGACTGCAGTCGTGGCAACGGCTGTTACTGCACCCAGCGCAGCTGGGAGGAGACGCGGTATCACCATGCCTCCTAAAGGGGCGGCTGGCCGGACCAGCACACTGGGGGCAAGATATGAGAGGGGAAAATGACAAAAACTGGTCGACGAAATCGGGTGGTGCTTGTCCGCACAAAATAAACAAGATGCCTGATGTCAAGAGAACACAATAGCCGACCACTGGAAGCTCTCAGCCAAGCAAGGCGGTTCGAATACACGCCTGGGGCAAAGAGACTACCCCCTCTTCCTCTGGTGCTCAACAAACAGTATATGGGGCTTCCACGAAATCAAAAGAAATGAAACAAAACAAAGGGGGAGGGAAACGGTCTCGGGTGGCTTCCCCACAGATCACCGTCGCGGCCGGCGATCCGGATACAACAAACAACACGGCAAACGGCACCTTAAGGCCGTTGACAATTGGACAGAGCTAGAACTTCAAGATTCCAAGAACAAGAAGATAAAAAGCCTGGTGACAATAGGCTCAATGTGCCCAAATGTCGACTTTGGGCGCGTTTACAATGGCTGACCGAGGCGTTGTGGGACGCGGTTGACTGGCTGCGGTGTCTGTAAGTGACTGGATCCGGGGTACCGTAGATCTCAGAGTCGCCGTTTTTGTTTGGCCGCTTGATGTGGCTGCAGATGGTTGCTTGCTTTCCCCGGAGCTAGTGAGTCGGCTTGCAACTCACGTGAAAAAGAAATAGTAGAATAAACCAAAAGACGATTGTAGGCAAAGGTTTTTGCTTGGTTTGTGCTAAGTTGAAGCACATAGAAAGAAACGATAGTAGAAGAGCCGGCAGACCCAGGTCGCGGTATTCGTACCCCTCCTTGGATGTTCGCGTCTCTGGGAGTGTGACCTTGGGGCTGGATGAGCGAGGGTGGTGTCCGGATGGGACCTTGGAGGTAGATGGATAGAAGCACGAAACGAATGACGGTTGATCGATTAAAGAACGCGTGGGTTGACCCCGGGAAGCGGTTGAAGTCAAACTTGATCAATGCAAGAAAACGAGAGAGAGCCTGAGGATTCACCGGGTTGATGGGTGGACAAGTCAACTGGGCATGAACGGGTAAATGTATACCAGCCGCACTTGCAGTCTTTGAAGGCTCGCTCCCTCTCATCTCGCCCTCACGCCATGGCCCCATACCTACATCCAGCCAGGAAAAAAAAGCGACAGACGCGTCGCGTGCTGTCCAACCACCATCGAGATTTGTTGTTGGACCAAGGCAACCTCACATTCAGGTGCCGTGCCCTATGAGAAGTGAGTGTGGGTGGGCGTTGTGGTGGCACCACGACCAGGGTTCCAGGGTTCCTGTCATGGATGTCATCGACATGGATTGATGCTGCGCATGTTTGGTACCGAAGTACCTTTCTCCGCAAAACCGCGAGAGCCCTACGAACTTGTGTCCTTTTCCAGCAAAATCCGAACAGAGGAACGAATCACATCCCGAGAATGACAGGTTGAGAAAGAAACGACACTTGAAAATTTAAGGACCAGTTGATTCAAGTTGCACCGCTCGAGCCGCTTTCAGGTACGGTACCGGGTTGATCTGACAGCTTCCAGGTTCCCAGTGGAGCCGTTCAGGAACAGAGCAACCGTTCTCCATTGTTTTAGCGTGTTGCGGCAGGGGTGGACCGTGGATCTCAGATCCTTCCACCTTCCACCACTGTCTTGTCTCACTTCACACCGTTTTTCTCGGAGCCTCTCGGATGAGACAAGCACGACAAGACCAACAAATCGACGCTAAGCCCCGTCACGCCCCTGTCACCCCAGCTGCCAAGACCACGCCGTCAACGACGAAGGGACGACGCGATCGCTGACAAAACCAACGTTATCGTGGCTTCCAACTAAACAACCTGCGCTCCTCAGGAGTGGCTTACTCTGGAATGTTGCGATATATATTAATTCTAACCCCATCCAGTGTACGACTACCGAGTACCGGACTTACAAGGTGTCATTGGCGTCCAAAATAACATGGTTTTATCCTAATCCGGTCAAAATGTTCTCTTGTTATCCCAATCCGTACCGCTCTCAGCCCCAGGGTCCTTCCTGTTCTGCGCTCTGCAGTGTCGTATTCTCGCCGTCTTTTGGCTTATTACTACCTCGTCGCCTCACAAACCTCCCCACTGGTTCACTCAGGCATATCCACCCCAGCCAGACTCGCTCTCATGCTTCTCGATAGTTCCTCCCAAGTCGTACTCCTCCGTCACTCCCGCAGTCCAAGGAGTACTAGGCTTTCGTTGTAGCCTTCAGAAGATCCCCCACTGGTTCCCCTAGCGCAACTCAGGCATCTCCACCTCAGCCAGACCGCCAGCTTCCGATCTGATGCATCGTTGGTCCTGATCTCTAACAAGTGCAGTGTAGTAGCACTCTAGGCTTGTTCGATATATTACCTGCCTTAGTCCAGTCCCTTCGTCGTCTTTCACCACCCCCACAGCCTCTCGAACCTTTCCTTCTCATCCAGACCGTCGGACTGGCTCACTCCCAGAATCCATTCATCAACGGTTCCTCCTGAGTCCTGCTCTGCAGTGTAGTACTCTTGTCGTGTTGGTATATTGCTCTGCAGATAGTTACCTTGCCACCACCATTTATCACCCTCACGAACTCGCTATCTTTACTTGCTCAAGTCCTCTCAGGCATTTTTACCTAAATCCCAGCTCGGCCAAGCCGTCAGACTGCCTGCCAAACCAGGCTCCCGAGGCTCGGCCATCGACGGTTCAGTCGGCCCATTACGAGACCCGGAATCCGAAGGACCTTGCCGAAGCCATCTACTCGTCTAACGACAGATACGAAGGTATGAACAACTGGTTGAATCTGGCATCACGAGATAGCGACCTATCAACCAACCTCCTCGCCCATTCGGGTTAACTGGATGCACACACTATATGCTGGGTGATGCCTGTGCTATATTTAAGCACAAATATACACGCTGGGCATCTACTAGCCAAGCTCATCCATGTGGTTGGGTGACATAGCGGTCTGGTTAAGTTCCGAATAGCTTCATCCACTTCGTCTCCTCGTGGAGCCTCAAAACTAAACTAACTGACTCACTCGTGATCATCGAATTCCTTCCCGGCTTGTCTGCTGGGGTCCAACAGGTGCACATACTATGGCGTTTGTTATATAATTACGCAAACTGTAAAGTCCAAGACGAGGGATGGTCCACATGCTCGCTCTGAGCCGCCTAGTGAGGTAACATAGCTGGACTTGGTTGCGAATAGCCTCAATTCACGTACATGGATGGGCCAGCCCTTCACTCGCCGTCACAACATAGACCAGGATACAACATAATACATGATATGACACAGTCAAGTCTTTACAAACAAGCGGAGCTGTCTTAGATCCCCCATTCTCGGGACACGAGGAGTTGTAGAAAGGCCGAGAAGAAATGTGTTGTTCGGCAAACTAAATATTAGGGGCTGATAAGAAGAAAAACAATAACTGCTATTAATGGTCACGGCAGGGGTTCGAACCTGCGATCTTCCGCGATCAAATCCCCCAGGGTGCGAGCATGTCTACCAACTTCCCTTTTCAGATGCTGAAATGCCCCCTCTCCAGGGTGATGTGAAGCAGATGCCTTGAACCACTAGGCCACGCAACCGCCCGTTGATTTTATTGATGGTCAAATGCCCTCGTAATAACCTTTACACCTAGGAGGTTTTCAGCTACGTCCAAAGGCTAAAGTAGTATGTTAAAAACATTTCTTCATCTACCGCGTGCCTGCCTGTTCTCTGCAGGTAACTTTCAACAAACCTTGCTGAATGACAGAACGAGACCCGAGAATATCCCGTGAATACCCACAAGTCTGTCCATCACAGAACACATGACAAAGCGGTTGGTTGACCCACCATTGACACAATACGTCTTCTCTTCTTTTTCCTCAACCCGGATTGCTCTCCCGCTTGCCCTTTTGGCAACCTCCTGATGGATGATGAATATATGTCGATCAGCAGACACGTCCAAGATCGATTCACACTAAGCTACGAACCGACACCGGTGCTTGCGGAGAACCCCTGACTTCGTCAAATCCGCCAAGGTTGGCCGTTAAGGCCAGTGACATGGCAGTGTTGTGAATGGCTTCATCCCACTAACCCATCCACTAATCCACATACAAACAGCCTAAACGGGTCCTTCGTTGGAGAGAACCCATACCCAAAGCAGAACAAGACGACCAACGATTACCCAACTAGTCGTTCGTCTACCAGACCTCTCCTGTCACGGAATACAAAGCCGAGTTCCGATAGACGAATCTGTCACGAAATCTGTCAGCTCAGTGTCGGCATTTGGATGCCACGAGGAAAGGAAGACGGTAGAGTACTACCTACCATGCTCGATTCAAACCGATCAATCAGTGCTGGACTGCTGATCCAGGGTCCTCCGTATTCCGATCTCCGTTCTCGGTATTCCAAAGCTACCTGCCCACCTGGGAATCTTCACTGAGACAATATAAGGTACGCAGGTATCATCGACAAGTGCCAATTCCACGATCCCACGACCAACCAACCAACCCCCCGCTCGGAGAAAATCGAGGAGAAAAGCAAAGGAAAGGAGACAAATGCTTATATTTAGCAACAGCCCAAGCCTTCCAAGACTGTCAACCTGTCTATCTTCATATATTGTCCTGACAAAACCCGGTAAACTAAAAAAGCTAAGCAATCCAAGAGTCCAAAGGAAGCCAAATAGATTGAGCAGCATATATTAACAGCCCCGTCCAGTTTATCGGCCGAGAAACGAAAGAGGAAATAAAATCATCAAAAACTGCCACCCGTCAATCCACTCCTGTCATCTCATAGGTTGGAAATTCTTGCGCTCAAAACTGCCAGAATGGCCATGTCGTTACATGGTTCCGTTCCATGATCGACGACTTCTCGGTACTGCGCTGCACTAGAACTAGGTACTCGAGCTACTACTACCCTCCACCACCAGAGTAGCACCAGACTAACGGATATCTTCCGCAACGATAAGGGGCATGGTATGGTGCCTAGCTGCGGAGAGCGCAGCGTCACAACATGAACAAGTCCAACACAGAACACCCTAGGACTTGTCTCCGTTCACGATCTGAGATTCCCCCACCTGATGCCATGCCGTGCGTATCCAACCTAACCTAACAACACAACACAACGCGGCGTCGATCCGAGCATCTTGGTACTCCACAAACAACCTCAAATTCTCAGAATCTTCAAATCCCCTTTTGGGAATGCCCCTACCGGAGTCACCGCCCTTGGACTGTATACGGAAGTGCACGGCAGCCAAGCACGGCTATCGTAGACATCAAATCGAGTTGACCGTGACAGTACCTGCCCATCCGCCATAGCCGCTGTCATACTTAAGCAGTCAGCAGTCAGCAGTCCGCAGAGTAGTAGTTGATTTATTTCCTATCTCCATCATCCATACCAAACCTAGCATACCAAATCATTTTCGTTATCCACCTTGTCATAGTTAACCGCGATAGCCGTCTTTAAAAAAAATATACATCATGAATTCGTAATACGTACCGTGGACCAGGTAGGTTAACCTGCACACGCACAGGACTTTTCTATCCGAGCCCTGAGATCAGCCCATCCCGTCTCTTTCGTACCAGCCTTCTTCAAACTGTCCAACCTGACTGCCAGACAGACAGACGACCCATCCATTACGCGAGATAGGTATACGCGCCACCCTCCCGCTCAAGATAATCCTTTTCGATAAGCCTATCACGCAACGTTAGTTCTCATGTCAAAAGTACAGCAGAATTCTCAACAAGACATACTTCTCAATATTAGCCTTGATATCCCCCGGATCCACCGCCCCGCGGCTCTTGGTCTGGTTGATAACCTCGGCAACAAGCCCAGCATGCGTCATCGTCTTACGACTCTTCATGATCCTCACAATCGCCGCCTGCGTCTCAAACTGCCTGTCGGCAGCAACCCGCTCATGCGTCTCTTTGTTCTCTTCCTTGGTCTCCTTGAGCTGGATCTGATTGATCTTGACTCTGTATTTGGGATCTGTAAACGCTTTGTTGACGGTAAACGTGTCGGTCTTGTTCACGTCACGACCTTTGGGGTGTTTTGTCAGGACCCGGACTTTTCCGCAGGCTAGAGACTGGAGGGTTCGTTGCAGGTCGAGATCATTTAGTCCCGTGGCTGTGGCTATTTGACAATAGGACAAGACTCCCTCGTTCTTGTCCTCTACCGAGTTGAAGAGGACCAAAACGACGGCCTGAAACGCGCTGACGAGCAGTTCTTTTGGTCCGCGATTGAACTGTGCCCGGACGACGGAATGTGCTAGGCTGTGCATCCAGGTCAACCTACGACCGGTATGCTTGTTCTTGTAGTAGCTGTCAAATGTATTGATCTGGTCCAGAACATCCTTGGGCAAGAGGACCTGCGTGTCTGGGTAGGTAGGCCAGGCCGCAGCGGATAGAATGCTGACGTTCAGATCGACTGCTCCCAGCCCGTTGTCCTTGCGGCCCGTGCCGTTTAGCCACTCCTTGTAAGACTTCATCTCGTCTTTTGCCAGTTCTTGGTCCTTGAACATTTGTTCGAGATTGTGCGTGAAGCTGGATCCGCATTCGCTCTTGAGCTTGGAAAGCATGTTCCTCTCAGCATCTTGGCTTGCACTACGTCCCAGTAACAGACGGCGAGCTAGGTCTTTCTTGTAAAATGCCTCAAAGACATCTTTGCCCTCGATGAACCGGAACAGCTCCAGACCATGGTCCAGCTGCCGGTCCAGCTCGGCGTCTTCGTCGGCCGTGCTGGCATGTCCACTCCTCTCGGCGTCGGCCCGTTCTCTGCTGTCTGACAACAAAGACTTGGGAATGGCCTTGATGCCGCTGCGGAGGAGCATGTCGATATACTTGGCAATCATCTCGCCCACCTTTGACGTGCCCGTGTTCCATTTGGACGAAACCGACCTGTCGTTGATGAAATAGCCAAACGCCTCCCTCAGTGCGTATGTGAAATCGTCGTCCCTGTTGAAGGCGTCTCGGATCATGATGTCGAGGGCCCGCCGTAGTTCAAGCAGCCGTAGCACCATCTCGTCGCCCCGTGTGGTGTCACTAACAATCACCGCCCCCGCCTCCTTGACATATGCCTCCCATGGCTCCTTGAGTTTCCTCTCGATACCCGAAAGCTTCAACAAACGGTAGAGCGCCGCTATCGACTCGACGTCGTTCGCATCTAGCAGCTTCGAGATACTGTTGCCCTCGAGCAGCTTATCCGAGTACCTCTTGATAAGAATATTATGCGCGTCGTCACGGAGCTGCCGCTTGGTGGTGCTGTCAAAGTTGTACCCATCACAGCGCTGATCCTCGCGTTGCAAGAGTGCTTCGCACGCCCTGATGTAATCTTTCAACCCATACGTCGAGCTCCGCTCCTCCGCAAACTCGAGGAAATACCCATGTGACTCGTCCAAGAACAACCTCTCAAAGAACTTGCCGTAGACCCCAAACAGCCTCAGCATATTAACCGACTCCTTCAACATGAGCGGATCGAACCTGCTGTCGCCCCGCCGATCAAAGTCCACAAGCTGACACATGGCCGCCAGCACTCTCCTGCCAGGCGATGGCCCCCCACTGGGCAACTCGCCGCTCATAAGTTCCTTCCTCATAACCACCGAACTCCCAAAAACGGCCCTCCGAAACAACGTAATCCCCATATCATTGATCCTCACCGCGCCCTTGGTACTCAACAAATAACTCCTGTCAAGATACCCATAAAGCCACCTAACCCGCTTCAACTGCTCGCTCCATTCTGCCCACAACCCAAGCACGATCTTCAGGAGTCCCACATCATCCCCCCTCTTAGCTTCAGCCGTTATCCTACCCAACACCCGCTCCCCATATAAATAAGTCTCACACTGCGTATTCAGCTCCTCGCTCAACCCTTTCGCCTCCCCGCGTCGACACAAGTCCTCCACGCTCCGGTGGACCCGATCCATGCTATACCTCGGCGCCCGCTTCGAGAAGATATCATCCAGCGCCTGGCCGAGCTCCCTCCTCCTCTCGGAGAAAAACTCTTCGACCTTGGCCGTATGAGCGGGCGTCGTGGTCCGGAGTTTCTTGATCACGATCCTGCGAGTATTCTTGCCACCAAATGGTTGTTTCTGGGCAGCAGCACCACCACCACCACCACCGCTTGCTATGTTTGCGGCGGCCGCCGGGTAGTTCCCGAAACTTTCGCCGCCGGTGCTTTCATTCGTGAGGTCGATCACCACCTCGGGCCGTTTACCCTGGACCTTGGCAGACATGGTTGTGGTGTTATCGTTGGTAAGGTCGATGAAATTAGACGACGACGAAGACCGGGGGCGCTTAGGGTTTGGATCGTTTATCGAGGAAAATCGCTGGAGAGGGGCGGGATTCGAGTCGACGCGGTGCTTCCGCTTCTGTTGTTGTTGCTGCGAGGTTGCCGTCGACGACGGGTTCTGTGATTGAGCTGGATTTCCGCCAAACGGAGACCTGTCCGGAGTGAAGGACTGCATGCCCTGTCCTGCCCTGCCCTGTCCTACACCTATGTATATAAGCAGGGAGTGGTATTGAACGGTCTTCTGTAGCGGCGGAGGCTTCGGCAAGGCGTGTTGCTAGTTAGAACTAGTGTCGGCGTTGTATAGATTCGCCTGGGCTCA